AAGATGATAAAGAACTTCTTAGATATGAAGTGTCAACATCAAAAAGATTCATGAAATAGAGAGATTTTGAGTTGACTTATTACTCTGTTTTTTTTTTTTAACTGAAAAGGGTATCAAGATTGGGTGGGAGTACACATGATTTTCCTCAAGTTGCTCCATTTTTTTGTATAGGTAACTTGCTTTGTAACTCAGACCTAGGATATCACATTTCTTTTTTCTGGCTTATGTTCTCTTGTCATAAATAAAGGGAAGAAAAGAAAGCCTCTTGGTCCAGTTCAACCAAGCAAAGGGATTTGTAGCATGGGAATTGCAAGGAGCCTGGCATGACTAGAGCTAATGGCTCATTTGTGGAGTTGTTTTTGTGATCCTTGACTTTCAGGTTATTTATGTTTGTTTATGAACATCTGTGACTAGATTATATGGGATTTATATAAAGCTATGATTACTTTTATTATTTTATTTTATGTGTATGAGTGTATTGCCTGCAAGTTTGTACAATGTGTGTGGAGGTCAGGTCAGAAGAGGGCTTCGGATTCCCCTGAACTAGAGTTAATGCATGGTTGTTAGCTGCCATGTGGGTGCTGGGATTTGAACCTGGGCCTTCTGCAAGAGGAGTCAGTATTCATAACCTGTGAGCCATTTCTCCAGCCCCAAAACTATGATTTTTTTTAAAAAGAATATAACTTATATCTCCAGAACTTTGTCAAAGAAGTGTATTGCTTGCTATACAGCACCCTTTAATGATTACTTTATTATTAGGAGATTAATGAATTATAGATTATTGGGTTATAAAAACACTTTGATTACTTTTAAAGTTTTAACATACTATATCTATATAATTACTTGAAATTTTCTACTTTTTAAGGGTTTATTTGGGACAATTTGATGTCTATCAGAAATCTTTAAAACTGTTATTCCATTCATAGATATTTATCCTGGGGAAAAATGTCAGGTCCATACAGCTATATGTGTAATATATTTATTAAAAACCTATCTTTAGTAAGAAAAATTTTAGAGAGGTAGAAGATCCCAAATTTCAGTCAGTTAAGAGGTTTGGTGAAATGTTATGTTTTTAAAAAAAATTATTATTTTTATTTTATGCATGTGTATTGCCTGCATATATTATTATGCAATCCCTGAGGAGGTCAGAAGAGTGCATCGGATCCCCTGGAACTGGAGTTACAGATGGTTGTTAGTTGCCCTGTGGGTGCTGAGAATCAAACCTGGGTCCTCTGTAAGAACAGCCAGAGCTCTTAACTGCTGAGCCATCTCCATAGCCTCAAATTATGGTTTTTATAGAAATTATAATAGTTATAGAGAATTGCTAGGTAGCCATTTAAGTAATATTCATGTGTATATATTGACATGAAGAGATAGGTATCCACTACATGTCATATGAAAATAGTTTGCAAAATAGCATGTATTAGATTTATAGTTCCAGATATACATATATTTAAGAACACAAAAAAGATTACATTTGTATAAAGCAAATGTTGAGGCTGGAAAGATGACTCAGTGGGTAAAGTGCTTGCTGTGCAAGCATGGATATCTTAGTTCTAATCCCCAGCATCCACTTTAAAGTCAGGCACACATGCTTTTCTAATCCCAGACCTGGAGGGCAGAGAGACAAATGGATCCTCAGAGCACCTTGGCCAGCCAGTCTAGCTAATTGATAAACTCCAAATTCAGTGAGAGACCATATCCCAAAAAATAAGATGGAGAGCAATCACGAAAACACTTGGCATCCACATCTGACCTCTGTGCATCCATGAATCTGCACATATTAACATTTACATTTTTGTCTTATGTGTGTATGTGTATGTACATGTTAATGATGATTACTGGTCTGCATTACAAATTCTTTTTTACTTTGCTAATATATTTGTCTACATTGTCAGTGCTTTTTCACTTGAGCATGTATTCTGTCTAAAAAAATATTTAGGTATTCAATGAAAAAGGATTAATGAAATCTGTGTTTTTATAAAGATTTGTTATCTCAACTTTTTTTTTTTTTTTTTTTTTTTTTTTTTAAAAAAAAAAAAAAAAAAAAAAAAAAAAAGAGGACGATAAATCTTTCACTGTGATATATCAAAATAAAGGTTATTTCTTTTCCTTTACCTCACTGTTTCCTTACCCTTGTCCTGGTTCCTGCAGTTATTTTTTTTTTTAAAATTTTTTTTTTTTATCTTTTTTTTTTTTTTTTTTTTGGTCTTTTTGAGACAGGGTCTCCCTGTAGCCCCAGCTGTCCTGGAACTCGCTATGTAGGCCAGGCTGGCCTCGAACTCACAAAGATCCGCCTGCCTTTTTTATAAGAATTATTAAGTTCAAAGTGATAGGCTCTAATAAGTGCTGAGAATACCATCTCTGTGGCAGATAGTTACACTTACTTGATCTTTAATATCCTGGCAGGGTGGACAAAATCCTTGAGAAGACTTGAGGTCCAAATAGGGTCCTAAGTTTCTAAAATAAATTAACCCTTTGAACAAAAAGATTCCCTGTGGTAGTTTTTTAAATGTATTTAAATGTTTTTAATTGACACACAACTATCTATTTATGGGTTATGCTGACATTTTAATAGATATATACAATATATAATGATCAGATCAGGATAAGTGTCATAGCTGTCATATTTGAGACAATTAATACTTGGCCTTGGAATAAATCCTAATGAAAAGATTTATGAATGAAATAAAAAGTGGTTAAAAAATGAACCCTTACTAGTCAGTTGAGTTAACTTGAAAGTAAAATGAGGAATGATTTCACTTCCTTTAAGCTAGAAATTTTTTAAAGTAGCCAAATGATTTTTATTTTAATGTTTCTTTAGAAAATACTAAATTTTAGGCACTCTAGTACTCTGAAATAATTTTTAAAAATTTTTTGCAGATTCTCGACTTCCTAAGCATGGAAGAAATCAAGAATAACTCTGAGGTTCAAAACCAAGAATGTGGCTTTCGGAAAATTGCTTGGGCATTTCTTAAGGTATGTTTTATTCATTTTAAACACATTGAAAATAATCTCCAAGAGGGGAATGGTGGCGCAGGCCTTTAATCCCAGCGCTTTGGAGGCAGAGGCAGAAGGATCATTGTGAGATTGAGGTCAGTCTGGGATGATCTGTATAGTGAATTCCAGGTCAGTCGGGCCTGCATAGTGAGGCCCTGTCTCAAAAATTTTTAAAAAAATGTTTAAACCTCTTAATAATCTCCAAATATGATTGGATGTTTTCCCCCTAAGTCATCTCAGTCTTCTAAGGAGTTAGTATCTAATGTGGCATTGAGATGGTCAGAATTGATAACTCCTAGTGAGGCTCATTAAGAATCTGAAGGGCTTACTGATACCCACTTTGCCATTTATAGTTTTTGACACTGTATACTGTGCTGAATGATGCATATAGTCCTGCCATCTTGTGTCCATTCATTAGATGTTTTTTGAACCCTTTCAATGACAGCCACTGTTCAGTCAGCAAACCTGAATTCCTTGACCATACTGACTTCTTATTGTAGCAATAAAACCAAATATAATACATTTACTTACACAATTTGTCTTTTGATTACAGTTTTTACTAAGTACTATAAAGAGTTTAGGTGGATGATGAAAACAGGAATCTAACCCTGTAAGACCACCTTTTCACATTCTACTCTGTAATTTCAGCATTGGATAGATGAGAGTCTAAGACATTATTAAAATGTAATGAACAATGTGAGCCATTATGGGATTTTAAATATAAAGCAGTTTATTAGGAACTGTTCATACTCATTTTTAAATTCAGATTTATCCAGCTGCATTTACCATAAGCTACAGTTAGGATACAATAGATTTCACAGTATTTTTACCTTTAAGAATCTTATGAATTTTAATTTATCCATCTTAAACTATTATTAGAACCAGTCACCAAGAATTCTTGACCGTCTCCCTACACCCATAAAGGATAATGGCTTCTATGTGTTCCCATGTGTAACACTATCTTCTTCCTTATACTGTAAGCTTTACAGAGTCTAATGACTTTTTTTGACTAAACTATTTGAGCATTTTTAGTTCTTTTATATTTTTTGCATTTATTATAGTAGATATTCTCTTGAAATTCTTCACTATCATGAGCTCAAAGCATATTACAGGCACACAGAAAGGGGTGAATATCTATTGAAGGAATTACTACATAGATAGAAAATGATTGAGGTAGGCTTAACCTGTAAGACAGTGATATGAACCAAGTTAAAATTTAAATACCTTACTATTATACTGTTGAGTTCAGCAGTATTCAGTTATTATAATGGTCCATTACACTGTATGCTAATTCCCAGTTATGCCTCAGGTCTCAGGCACTTTGAGTTCATCTGGAATGTAGTAGTTGATATTTTAAACCATATAATAACAAAGTCTATATATTTGAGCTGTAAATTATATAATTCATAATCATAATGGCAGGGTCTTGGGTGGATTTCTTAGAATGAGAATCCACATCCACATGAATTCCAACATCCACATGGTGGTTAACAACCCTCCATAACTCCAGTTTCAGGGGATCCAACACCCTCTTCTGGCCTCTGTAGGTATTGCATGACACAGGTGCACTTACATACATGCAGGCAAAACACTCATACACATAAAATAAAATAAAGAATAATAAATTTAAAAACTCACTTCCTTAGTTGCATTAACCACACTTAAGGGCTCCATAATTCTGTGTGAAGAGTATAGTCATAACACAACTATACAGCATTCTCAGCATCATAGAAAGATCTATTGGATGCTACACTTGAGTCTTTCTTGACTTTTATTTCTTTATTTTTAACTTGCCAAGTTGATTTAGTTAGTAACAGTTGTTAAATATGTCTCCTGTACTCAATCCCTATGATTCCAGTTTAAGTCATATTCAGACTCTGAGAACTGTTGCTAAAGTTCCTAACTTTCTACTCCAAATTTGTAGAGGACACAATGGTTAGAAAGGTACTTCCTAAGAAAACTTATTTTGAACTGGTGAGGTTTTCAGTTTTCCCTAAGAATTTCTATTTATTTGCTTATATTGTTTCATTTAATAGGTTTTAAAATAAACCTGTGGGGCTGGAGAGATGGCTTAGCAGTTAAGAACACTGGTTGTTCTTGCAGAAGACCCGGGTTCAAATCCCAGCACCCACATGGCAGCTAGCAACTGTCCATAACTCCAGTCCCAGGGGATCTGACAGCCTCTTCCGACCTCCATGGGCATTACATGACATAGGTGCACTTACCTACATGCAGGCAATACACACATACACATAAAATAATAAAAATAGAAATAATAAATAAAATAAAAATAAAATAAACCTTGCAAAGAAGGTAGATTAAAATACCGAAAAAGTATAGTGAATGGTTTAAATTAGTTTATGTTAAAATATTTTGAGTTTAAAAACTAAAACAGAATTTTAATCATTAAAAATATTGATATAGTCCTGTAGTTCTGGCTACTGAGGAGGCTGAGGCAGGAGGATCACATGTTTAGCTTATACTTCAGAGTGAGTTCAAGACCAGCTTGGCACTATAGTGAGACTGTTATCAAAGGAAAAATAAAAGGAGTAGGGATATAGCTCACTGGTAGAGCACTTCCCTAGGATGTGAGACCCTGGTATATTTAATCCTCAGTGATGCCAAAATACTGATAATAAATGGAAATTTTTTTTGTTTTCAGTAATATGTGCTTTAATCTTTGACATTATTTCAAACAAATATATGTTGATTATTGATGCAAAGTAACATCTGGTTCAATAATGTAAATGTTTTACCAGCACACTGAAGTGGCTGTACAAATGCAGAGAGAGCTAGCAAGAAATGTTTTAAAGTTGTCAAGTTTACACTTGTCAAAATGATCTGAAACTGCCCAACCACTGAGATCAGTCTTCTGTCTTTTGCCTTATAAATATAAGGAATTTCAAACTATTGCTTTAATCTTTTAAAACTGAACTTCCGACCCTATGCTGTTGCTTTATTGAGTGTATTTATTTTCAGAAAAGGTAATGATTTATATATATTCTTATTTCAAGCTTCTCGGAGCCAATGGAAATGCAAACATCAATTCAAAACTTCGTTTGCAGCTGTACTACCCACCTACTAAGCCTCGATCCCAATCAAATGTTGTTGAGGTTTTTGAATGGTGGTCCAAATGTCCAAGAAATCGTTATCCATCAACATTGTATGTAACCGTACGTGGATTGAAAGTTCCAGACTGTGTAAGCTAATAGTACATCTCTTTGTCTATTACTTAAGAATGACATAATAATTTGCCATTTTTAAAAAGCTAAGATCTCAAAATTATTTTAACAAATTGCTATAATAGAAAGATATTTTGAAAGATTATATATTAAGCCTATAACAGTTGATATTTAAGAGATAGTTAATGAACTTTATTCTTTTTTTAGTTTGTTTTGTTTTGTTCTGTTTTGTAAGACAGGGATATTGTACCCACTTCCCCCAGCCCCATAATGGAATTTTATACGGCTTGAGTTTACGCAGATTTTCTATATGTTGTCATATGTGCAACTACTCTTTGCCCCCTCTTCTGTGAAGATCCCTGTGCCTTGCTGACGGGTATGATCTAGATGTCCCAGTTAGGACTGAACACTCAATCTCTCCCAGCTATGAAGCCTGTGAGTTACAATAACAACTGACCTGGCAAGATATGTCCACTAGTGCAATAGTGGCACAAATGTTATGGGAATAACCAGTCAGCCTCTGATTGGCCATGAGGCCTGCTCCACAAGATGGAACCCATACCTGGCACCATTGTTGGGGCTGAGAACCTGTGGCTAGATAGGTCATAGGACCTAGGGAAGAACCTACTGCTAATATTCTGTTCAGTGGACATAATATTAAAATGACTCCTAATGACTTACTGCTATACTCCTAGCAACATAGTGACTGTCTCAACTCTTGTCAGAGAAGTTTCTTCTTGCAGTAAAAGACAATTAACAGCTAGTCAACATACAGGGAATCTAATATTTTATTATCCACACTTTGAAACTTTCTGATGATAGGACCATAGATCAAGTAGCTTTTAAATTAAAATATAACTTTTATGGATTATATTTTAAAAACATTTCCATACTATTTTTCTCAATATTATAAAAAATAATGTATGCTTGGAAAAAGAAACACTTTAGGGCCAGCAAGATGACTCACTAGTAAACATGCTTGTTGCTGAGCCACATGACCACAGCTTGATCCTGGAACCCTTGTGTTGTTCTTTGACCTCCACATGTGCACCATGGTACATGTATACCTACATCCCCCCCCAGTAATAATAAATAAATAAATGTACATTTAAAAATAAACAATAGAACAAACTATAGTTTTTCTCATTTTCTATACATATTTAGATAAAGCCATCTTACCGCTCCATGATGGCTCTTCAGGAGGAAAAAGGTACACCAGTGTATTGTGAACGTCACCGTGAGGCAAGTTCAGTTGAGACAGAACCTGGATTAGAAGATTCCAAGGAAGTAGTAAAGTGGAAACGACTCCCGGGACAGGTGAGATGCTTAATGACGCTTGTATTGATTACTTTTCTTATTGTTACCTGACAAAAGCAATTGAAGGAAGGAAGGAAGACGAATAGCTTTGTCTCACAGTTTGAGGTTAGCCCCTTATGGTGGGGAAGCCATGGCACTAAATCATGAGGCAGCTGGCCACATTGCCTCCACAATCAAGGAGCAGAGAGAGATGGATGCTCATGTTCTGCTTGCTTTCTCCTTTTTATTCAGTCAGGAACCCAACCCATGGACTGGTGCTACCCACGTGTAGAGTGGGTCTTTCCATTCTCATTAAGCAGTGTAGAAACTACCTCACAGACTTGTCCAGAGGTTTGACACCTAGATGATTCTAGGTCTTGTGAAATTAACAGTATTAATCATTACATTCATTTAGAAATTTCTTACCTTAAAAACAACAGTATCTCTAGGGTGCTGGCAAAAATGAAAAATAAGAGACAAATACAAAAGATAGAAAAGCACTTCAAGATTTAGTAGCTGACGGAATAGTTAAGGAAACAGGATAGCTTTTGAGATCCCTCTTGTTACTAACTTCCTCTGAGTGCCTGCTCTGAGTAGGATTCAATATCAAACCCTGGGAAATCAAAGAACTTGACAGTGGCTTCAGAGATGTTAGTCTGTGTGATTAGGCAATCTTCCTCCACTACAGTTCCTAATCTAAGATTAGTGGTCTAAGTGACCTCCTTATGCCTCAGTCTATTTTTGTATGCTTTTTTTTTATTTTTTACCACCCTTTCTCTTTTCTTAATCATCGTATCAGAGAGTGAAGGAAAGGGGTAGGTAGTATGGTGCCTAGTGTATTACTGACACTTAACAAATGTCTTGAATTTTTTACATTCTTAGTAACTATTCATAATGCTACCTGCTGATCTGCTAAGGTTGATGTTGTTTGTGTAAAGTGCAGTACCTATCTGGGAAGCAAGCCAGTACTTCTTTGACTAGGTCCATTAGGCTCCGCTTGGCCTTCTGAATAATCCTCATGAGATGTATTTAGCTCATAATGTTTACTGTTGACTGACAATAGCTATTGCTGCAGTGAACACATTCAGAGACATTTGTAGTGAGGTACAACATTCATGACATACAGTAAGGGCCCAGTATATGTTTATTTCAACCTCTTTAGTAACACAGAAAGCTTACTAAGGCCTACTCCTAATTGAAATAGGTAGAATTAGGAGATGCCAAAGTAAGTGGTGCTTCTCTGGTAGATATTAGCAGTCCAGTTTTTAAAATTTTATTTGGTAATAGGGATTGAAAACAAAGAAATTATAAGGAAATTGTAATACAGTTAATGAGTGAGAGACCAACAAAGGATGATTGCTTACTTTGAAATTAAAATAATCCCTGCTGCACCCACCTTACCTCCAGTGAGTGCCAGAAACTGCAGATAGCGCTGAAACCTGTACTCGTGCTTAGTTTAACTAATAAATTGAAATCTCTGTAACCATGCAGTAATGGCCCATTGTCACTTGTCAGAAAATCACTTACTAAAATGGCTTAATGCTTTCTGATGCAAAACATTTCTGTCATTAGAGCATGTTTTCTTTATCTTCAATCTTTGTGTGTGTGTGTGTGTGTGTGTGTGTGCGCGCGCGCCAATGCAAAGACACAACTCTCACCTCAAAGGGGACAAGTGGTAGTTTATTCTGGAGCCAAATATGAGTGATCATGGCCTAGAAACACAAATTCAGATTCCCCCATATTCCACATTCCAATGTGGAAGCAGTTTCATGAAGTTTTTATAGTAACAGAGGAAAGAGCCATCATAAATCAAGGCACTTTTCAAATACATTGGTAGAAACATTTAGTAAGTGGTTACAGCAAAAGAGAAATCTCAGCTATAGGCTTCAGATGTATCTGATGACACTTGACCTCTTGGTTGGTGGGAGCTAGGACTTTGTTAATATATTCCTAAAGGTTTTTTATCTATTAGTCAGAGGATGTTGAGTCAGAAACAGAGGTGGGCAAGGAGTGGCTATTTAGGGGGCTAAAGATAGCATAAGATAAATTGTAATTAGGCTTTGAATCTGCAACATTCCAAATTCTCTGCCACCACTGAAATTCTAATCAGTTGATCAGCCTTTGCAGAAGGTTGAATTTAAAGATGAAATTTTTCTGGGATCCTCTTACTTCACACCTCCCAGCAGCTAGACTTACAGGCATATACCACCATGCTCAGCTTGATAACATGTTTTCGTGTTATCCACGAATGTATTGTCTTTCCCATATTTAAGCATTTATTACTCATTGTGTTCACAAATTATGCACTGTAGGTATGATGGCAAAATTATCATGGATTTTTTTCACCTTACAAATTTCACAGGCAGATTTGTTCTTACTGTAGACCTTAACCTTGTTGGTTAAACTAAGCACGAGTACAGGTTTCAGCGCTATCTTTTTTTTTTCCCTTCATAAGTCTAGCTCTTTCATGTTTATACTTAAAGAAAGCATTTTACAGCTTTGCTATCTTTGAATTGTCCAGCACCACTATTCTTATTCTTTGAAGCCATTACTAAGTAAAATAAAGGTCACCTGACAAAGCACTGCAGTATCATGACACTCAGTCTGATAACCAAGGCAACTGGTTAGTACTAACAGGCAGATGAAATAGCTACAATGAGCAAAGAGAGAATCCATGCACAGGGCTGGATGCAGGATGGCAGATTCCCACCACATGGGTTTGAAATTTCCCATTTAATATTTTCAGACCATGGTGACCTTGAGTAACTGAAACCACAGTTACAGAGGATATTTTAAAAGAGGAAAAAAAAAAACAAGAATGACCATTTATACATCCCTGAATTTAAAATAAGACATATGTGACATTTGTGGTTATAAAATGTTTCTGGCCTTTGAAAAAGTGACTATTTGCTGTAGTGGAATATAGATGTGTCATTCTTTTTGTGGCTATATAAAGCAATGTCTCAATGATAGTTTTAGAATATTAGACTGATTTTTTTTTTATTTTAGAGGAACTAAATGTTAAACATGAACAAATTAATTTTAAAGAGAACCAACTCTGTATTTGGAAAAATAATTACTCTGTTTTTTAATCATTCTGCTGACAATTGTTTCTCTTCCTCTGTATCACAGCAAAATAACCTTAGAAAAAAATTGTAGTAATGGAGATTAACTAGTCTTATTTTAATGTTATCTAATTTATATTTTAAAATATTTTTTAGGCTTGTCGCATCCCAAACAAGCACCTCTTCTCACTAAATGCAGGGGAACGAGGATGTTTTTGTCTCGATTTCTCCCACAATGGAAGGATATTAGCAGCAGCCTGTGCCAGTCGAGATGGATATCCAATTATATGTAAGAAATAATCCTACCTGTTTAATCTCAGTGTAGTCTATGTAGTTGACATTGTTTGGGTTTTAAAATTCATTGAAATCTTAATTTAAGTAATCCATCATATTAGTAAATTAAATATATTTCTTCAGGTAAAAGACAGTTACTATATAATTGTTCAGGTATGAGAGTAATCAAATAAAAGATGTTATTTTTTTAACATATAATAGTTTTTAAACATTTTCTACTTTATATATAGAAATTTAGAATTATGAAAGAATAATAAATCTTATGGGAGATTTTAGTCAATTATGATTTTAGCTTATAGTCATGATGATTTAAATTATGAAAGTCCAACAATTTGTCATATGCTGGAAAACTGATGAATGACTCAGAAACACCTCAAAGAAGGCTTCCCATTATGATAGGGAAGTCAGCAGAAAGGCAAAGAAAAAGTATTTCTATAACTGTAAGAGATTTTCTTAAAGCAATATCATACTATTCTAGACTTAGAAGCATCATTTTTTGCCTTAGTAATAAAAATCAACTCTCCTTGGCGAGAAACTAGCTCCTCATGGGTATCTGTCATAAGTTCTAGGTGATGTTGAGCTTTACTTAGATGCATGACATTCATGGGAAACCTGTTCCAAGATACTAGTGATTATTCTCCTTTGAATAATGAAGGAACTATTTTAATTCTGATTTATATTCTTTAAATTTTTCTGTATTATATTATTAAATATTTCTCTATGGCTAAACAATTTACTTGAAATCTTGCATAGATTTAGATATGTTTATTTAAATCCAAAATTATGAAAACCTTTGGCTCTGGTTTTGAACTGTTTGATTATAATGTGTATAAACTTAAGATTCACTTAGCTTATTCAATATTCAGCTGAGTCCTTCTCACGAACTGTGGAAGTCTTCAGTCATTATTAACTTGAGATGCTCTGCTTACCCCTTTCTCGCTCTTCTCCTGAGACTCCTATCATGGCCTCTGTTGGTAGGCTTAGTGGTGTCCATTGTGGATCTCAGACTTACTCATTTTTCGGCATTCATTTTCTCTTCCTCAAATTAGATAGTGTTAGTTGACCTGTCATCAAATTTAGTGATTCTGCCAGCTGAGGTCTGTTGTTGAGCCGCTCTGCTGAACTCCTTATTTCAGTGACCCTACTCTTCAATTCTAAAAATTTCTTTTTGCTTCATTCTTAGCATTTCTATTGACTTACTGATCTTTTTTGTGAGGAATCATTCTTATGCTTTTCGTTCTTTTAGACCCTGTTTTCTTTAGATCTTCTAACGTATGTATAATAATATTTGAAGCTTTTATTGAGAAAAATCAACTGCGGTTCCTCAGTTTCTATATGGACAGTTTCTGATAACTGCTTTCTCTTCCTGCGTGTAGCTGTACTTTCCTGTTTATTTCTTCCATGTCATAACTTTATGTTGAAACTGGACATTTTAAATAACACAGTGCAGTACAGCTCTGTTTCCCTTGTTTCTCCCCCTTACCATCTCAGATTTATTGTTGCTTCTGGTTGTATAGTGACTTTCCTAGATTAATTCTGTTAAGTCTTTATTCTTTGTCATTTATTAGTTCTTTGTAGACTGTATCTAGTAGCTAGTACCTTGCTTGGTTAGGTCTGATGGCCTTTGCCAGGGAGCAGTGTTCTGGGATTTACTTTTTGTGCTTCAGCACACAATTTAAAACTGCCTTAACCTTTACTTCCTGTTTGTGCAGAGCCTCTTCGGGTAAGCCAGATAAAGAGATAAAGCTTACCAGGTTTATGCACATAGCCTTTACATACATGTGTGGGGATCCTAGATTCTCAGGAATATTTTGGAGCTGTTCAAAGTTCCCTATAGCCATCTCATTCTGAGTTCTGTTTTTAAATTTGTGTTCTGCAGTAAGTCTTTTCTTACTGAAATCAACTGGTGTTAATCTCTTAGGCAGCAGTAATGTTAAATAATGCCACTGATTGTTTCTACATGAACCTCAGAATTAGGGCCTTTTGCGGAAAGCCTGCACAGAGCCAGGTTCAATAAGGCTTGGAGCCTTTTCTGGAACTGACAAGCTGAAAATAGGGATAAGTCTTTGGGAATTGAGTTTTTAGGGAACTTCAGACCTTTTCTGCATCATCTAGTGACTTCTGAGCTTACGATTTTAATTTTTCTTTTTAGGGTACTTTAGAGTTTAGGAAAGAGGAATGAATTGTTATTGTGAAAGCATTTTAACCAAGCTTAGTGTTCTTACTGAGATTCAGCCACTTTTCTTGAACAAATACTCCCCTAGCTCGCCCAAGCTATGCAGAATCTAATTCTCAGAATGCTGAAGCATCATTTTGAGAACTTTTTGCCAGTCTTCTCTTTGCTTTTATGAGGGAATAGATTTTTCTAAAGTTCTTATTTTAGCTCTTTCAGTTTTGAACTGCTCGGTATTTTGAAGGGTGGTTGATTCCACCACTAGATGGAAGCAAAGACTTGGAAACTTCTGTATAGAGAGCAGCTTAGACACCATCGAGTATGAAACCTAACAGTGCTTTTTCAGACCGATTCCTTTGCTGCTAATTCCATTGTGATTTCTATCATTTTAGTGTTATAATTTCTTTCTTACATAGACACATTTTAAATTCCTCATTACTTAAATAATTTTTTTAATTTAGTTGGTTTTAAGGTAAAATAATATTTTATTCATCAAACTCCAGGTTATACAGTATTTGAAGTAAATTGCAATGTAAATGTTATTTCTTATATTACTAATAAAATTATTATCAAAGACTCTTGGGGAAACATCTTGAAAGTAATTGATAGTGCATTAAAGAATATTGTCAAATTTTATCACATTATAAAATTCTGTGTATATACTCTTGGGTTTAAAACAATTAAAAACTTTTAGTAGATTTTAAAATTTTGTTAATATTTACATTATATTTGGTTATAATTTTATAGAAGGTGCTTGATTTTTATTTCAATTATTATAAATTGTGTGTTTATTGGATTAAAATCTAGAAACATAATTTCTAAATATTTTTATTAGTATATGAGATTCCTTCTGGACGTTTCATGAGAGAATTGTGTGGCCATCTTAATATCATTTATGACCTTTCCTGGTCAAAAGATGATCGCTTTATCCTTACCTCATCATCTGATGGCACTGCCCGGTGAGTATTTATTTAGGAAGTGCTTAATGTGTACTTGTTTGCTATGAAATCTAAAGAGATACAACTATTCCTATGTCTTGCCTATGAAAAGACTGTCATAAAAATACATCATGCACACTGACTGATGAAATAGTAGAACTTTGCCTTGAGGGCAGTTTTCTTAAATTTTTTTAAATTTATGTAATATGTCTCATTTCTGGCCCCCGCCATCTTCAAATGATTATTATGTAAACTGCTAATTAACACCTTGCAAGAAGGTACTTGAGAGATTTCCTAGAATGTAAACAAGGATTCTTTCTTCATTGTTGGCTAGATATAGGGACCAGAATCCTGTGGCAGTCAATACATAGATGTAGACAAAATAGATTACTGGGTTAGGTACTTTATACTTTAAAGAGCTTTATAGATTGTTAAATATTTGCATTTTCACGAAGTTAGTCTTAAATTGTCCCTTCGATTTAACATTTATTTTCCTTTATTTCTCTTTTGAATCGGTCTTACTTGTAGCCCAGGCCAGCATCGAACCTATGATTCTCCTACCTCAGCTACCTGTGTGCAGGAATTACAGGCATGTGCCACCAGAATTGGCTTAATAAAACATTTTAAAAGATAAATTCTAAGTTTTATTTACATTTTTAATAGTTTCTTTAACCTTGACTATTCATGTGGGGACTCACATGGTAGAAGAAGAGAAAGAAGTCTTGCAAGTTGTCCTCAGACCTTCACACATCATACACATACACACAATAAATGTATTTTTATAACAAGTAAAATAAATACATAATTTAACCCAGATTTCACCATACTTGAAGGGTTTCCATATACAACATACGGTTCATTTTGTTTTTCTCTAACTATGTTTAAAGTTGATACAAATTCTGACTCTATATAAAAAAAATTGTGAAAGCTTTAACTGAATGAAGAGCAAAGCATTATAGCTAGAACTAAGACATAAAGAACGTGTATAAGGGATAAGCTGTCATCAAAGGGAAGGTAATCAGAGTTGTCAGTGCTCACACATGGTAGAATTTTGGATTTACAAACCTGACTTTTCTTTCCTTTTCCCTAAATCATTTTCACATGTTTTCATTAGTGTTTCCCAAGTAACTTTTTTTCACCTGCTAGCTCTTTGCCATATGGCTTCAGCTTATATTCTCTCCTTTACTCATTTTTACAATAGTCAGAAGGACTTTCCCTTTTGTTCTGGCTCTACAGTAGGCACCTATGTCCTCCTTACATCCCTTTCCCATACACTGTTTTAACTTTGTTATGTGGTTTTCTTTCTCGGATCTAAAGATTTATGTGTAGCTGTTCATCTAGTTTTACAAATTCATGTTTTCTCGTTCTGTATGAACAGCCCATGAACCCATTAATGCACACATTTATTTTGATGTTAGATTCTACTCTTGCTTAAAGAGCAAACTGATAAGTTGAGTTTTCATACAAAAAGCTTCATAAAAATACATGTACACACACACACACATACACACACACACTGAGCTGTTTTGAACATCTGCTTCATTTCTGCCTGCTAGCTATAGTCTTTCAAATAATGACACCAAGACTTATTAGCAGTCAGTGAGGTTTCTACTTTTTAACTTCCATAATATTCCTTCATATTGGTAATTTTGTTCTTTCAGCACCTATTCTGTTTCATGTAGTGTGTAGTCAGTAAAGTTTTACTGTGATAAAAATGTTTATGCAGGGGCTGGAGACTCAGAGGTTAAGAGTGCTTCCAGAAGACTTGGGTTCTGTTCCCAGCATCCATCTGTAACTCCAGTTCCAGGGGTTCCAACACATTCATGTGGTCTCCATAGGCACTGCATGCATGTGGGGCATTTACATGCATGCAGACAAAACATTCACACGTAAAATAAAAATAAATAACATTTTTAAATGTGTATGCAATGATACATATGCTTTATTTTCATTTGAAAACATTCTTTCACTCCTTCATTATTAGCTTGGGTTCTTATTAATCAGACTATAGATTCAGCAGCTACTGAGAAAAATCAGAATGTTTTTCTTGAATAGCTGATTGCGTTTTTTCTTTTAGCTCTACTTAGCTAAAAGATTTAATTGTTTTAATTTTTAGGTAGTAATTTAAAAATCAACTATAAATTGCACTGGTAAAAATATATTCCTATGATTTTAATAACAATCCATCAAATAAAATATCCACTGATTTACAATCATATGGCAACTGTATGTTTGCCTATTTTCTCACATTGTGAGAAATATGGTGTATTTAATAAAACAATTTACTGCTTGGGTTTATACTTTGATGAACAGACTGTTCCAGTATTGCTTTTTAAGAAATAAATGACATTTGAAAAAATATTCAGTGTTTATGTAAAGGTAGAGTTTAATATACAAGAGCCTGTTTTCTGCCAAAATATCATTATTTTACTCAAGTAGTGAAAGTAGGTAGGGACTGGGAGACAGCTCATTTGATTTAATGATTGGAGCATGAGCATAAAGACCTGAGTTCAGAGCCCCAGCATCTAAGTACAAAAATCAGGCACAGCAATATACACCCGTAAGACCACGGCTGAGGAGATGGAAACAGAAGGATCCCTAAGACTTTCTGGCTATCCAGTCTAGGCCATCAGTGAACTCCATGTTCACTGTTGTAAGACCCTGTCTCAAAAAGTAGGGTGCAGAAGTGATTGAGGAAGACATCTTATGTCAGCCTCTGGTCTCTACACATATACATATATACCCACACAATTGAAAAAAGAAATCAGGGGGCTTGAGAGATGGCTTAGCAGTTAAGAGCACTGACTGTTCTTGCAGATGTGGATTCGAATCCCAGCACCCACATGGTGGCTAACAGCTGTCTGTAACTCCAGTTACAGGGTAATCTGACACCTTCTGTCTTCCATGGGCACTGTACAGCACTGACACTCTTACCTTCATGCAGACAATACACTCATACACATTAAATAAAAATAAGTAAATCAAAAAGAGAAATCAGAGTAATTTTAATATCTGTAGGTTTTTAGGATCTTTAGGTTTATTATATAGGCTTTGAGGTTGCAAATAATAATTATTGGCATGTCTGATTCTCTAAGCCTCCACTAGTAGTCATTTTCAGAAGCAAGGTGCATAACCTACATGGAAAATCATTAAAATTTCTTTCCCATGTCTTTAATGTATATTGTATTAAATAATACTTTATCAACTATAAAATGTATATTTACTCAATAATAAAAATATTTTTTAAATATTTTATTATTTTTATTTATTTTATGTGTGTGAGTGTATTGCTTGTATGTAAGTAAGTGCACCTGTGTCATGCAATGTCCACAGAGGTCAGAAGAGGGTGTCAGATTCTCCTGGAACTGGAGTTACGAATTGTTGTTAGCTGCCATGTGGAACCTGGGTCCTGTGCAAGAGCAACCAGTGCTGAACCATCTCTCCAATGCAGACAAAAATATTTTTTTTTAATGTATTCTGTTGTTCAAGTGTGGTGGTGCACACCTTTAATCCCAGTGTCTGGGTTTAATCCCAGTCCCTAGGAGGCAGGGGCAGGTCAGTTCTAGGCCTGGTCTGCATAGCAACTTGCAGGCCAGATGGAATGACAAGAAACCCCTGTCTCAAAACAAACACAAAAGCAAAAAGAATGTATTATGTCCAACAGAGTTTTCAGTTCTACAGTATACATTACAGTTAATAGATAAAATATATTTGGTAAGAAGTGGCTTTATCAAAATGTGAAATAATCTAGCCATCAAATATGTGATCTTTATCATATTTTTTTATTGTTATAAATATCAGTTTACTATCAGTTGTTGACATTTGCTTATATAAATTGTATTGGCTCTAGATTTTTCCAAAAACGGTTCCAGAATTTTTTGTTTTTGAGAAGCAATATAACTTTTTATCCTTTTCCAGAGTATGGAAAAATGAAATAAACAGTACAAGTACCTTCAGAGTTTTACCTCATCCTTCTTTCGTTTACACGGCTAAATTCCATCCAGCTACAAAAGAGTTGGTGGTTACAGGATGCTATGATTCTATGATAAGAATATGGAAAATTGATATGCGAGAAGATGCTGCCATATTAGTCCGACAGGTTGATGCTCACAAGAGTTTTGTCAACTCTCTCTGTTTTGATAATGAAGGTATGTCTCAGGATATGCTCTTAATTGAATGATATTTGCAGGAAGAATTCCTTTTATTTCATTAATAATTATTTAATCTTGAGAGAGATTCTATGTATGAATATTTATGCATATTTTAATTATACTTATTTTTTAAATCACAGGATGAGTCTAGAGCTGAAAGGAGTTCTAAAGTTCACAATTTTTAAGTTATTAAGTTCCTAAACAGACATGCACCATATTTCATAAATATTTTTATCTTGGTTGGTGATTGTAATTTTTAGTAATTTTTTGGGGGGGAGTCTTTTTGAGACAGGGTCTCCCTGTAGCCCCAGCTGTCCTGGAACTCACTATGTAGACCAGGCTGGCCTTGAACTCACAGAGATCTGCCTGCCTCTGCCTCCGGAGTGCTGGGATTAAAGGCGTGCACCACCACACCCGGCTTTTAGTAACAATTTTTAAGTTAAATGGTACAAAATTTAAAAATAGAAAAAGCTCCGGGCATTTTATTTATAAAGAAATTTGGGCCAGGCATGGTGGCGCACGCCTTTAGTTCCAGCACTTGGGAGGCAGAGGCAGGCGGATCCCTTTGAGTTCAAGGCCAGTCGGGTCTACCTAGTGAGTTCCAGGACAGCTGGGGCTACAGGGAGACCCTGTCTCAAAAAGACAAAAAAAAAAAGCTCCAAATAATATTGCAAATATACATGTTAAATATATTAACAGGAGTTTTTTAATGCACACATAGAAGAGAATTTGCAACTGTTTTAAGGTTCTAAGCATTTGACTATTATAGATATCCTAAAATGCAAAATATAAGTTTTACTAATTGAGAAAACAGAAATCTATTAAGTTGTCATTTCTGTGTTATTTCAGAAATTAAATTAGGAACATGTTTTGTTAACTCTGAATAAAAAGTTGTCTGATTTATTTGTTTATTTATTTTATTTATTTGAAGAAGAAAGAGTACATGAATTTGTCAGAAAAAAAGTGATGGGGAGATATGGGAGGTGTTGGAGGGGAGGGAGTGGGGAATGGATTTTATCAAAACACCTTATATGTATGTATAAAATTCTCAATAAATTATTTATTTTTTAAAAAATGTAAATATCCAGATACACTTTACATTAAAAAAAAGTTGTCTGAAAGTTTTGTCATAGGACTGAACAGATGGCTCAGTGTTTAAGTGCACTGGCTGCTCTTGCATAGGATCTGGGTTTAGTTCCCAGCACGCACATGGTGACTAACAACCATCTGTAACTTCATTTCCAGGGGATCCAACCCTCCTCTGACCTCCAAGGGCATTGTATAACATGGGTGCACTTACATACATGCAGGCAATACACTCATACATATAAAATACAAATAATCTTTAAAAAAGAAACCTTTGTCATGATAGAAGTACTTCAGATTATAAAAGAGAGATAATATTTTTAATTTGACCATAAGATACACAAATGTGAAAAGAGGAGAAAAAAGAAAGAAAACATCCTTGAGGCTCTGGTAGGTGAATGAAATCAAAGTTACAGAGGACAGATTTTTTTTTCTTTGCTCAGAATTAGAAAGAACATTCTAACACGTGGCAGTATTCACCAGTTGAATAAGATGATTTGTAAATTATTAAATTCATAGTTACCAAGCAGCCATCTGTTAGTAACAATGTGTAAGATATCCCAGCATGACTGTGACATTGAACTTGGTGCTCTCTAAGGTCCCATTCAATTTTAAAGAATTGATTTAATACTTGTTAAATTTTATTTCATGGATTTTCTGATTGTTTATTGAGTTTTAATGGTTCCTACGTATTATGTTGAGCATGTATGTTACATAGGTATTTTTCTAGAAATATAAAACATTATACATTATATTAATCATACATCTTGGGTGATTCAAATAATTTGGAATTGGAGCTCTATACATATGGACTGATGTTTGTTTCTTTTTGTATTCAAATTCAGATAAGTAACAAAAAAATAAGTCACCAAAATACTTTTTTAAAAGTGAAAAATTTTCTTTGGGATAAGATTGTGAGTTGCATTTTGCTTTTTGATGTTTTAAAACTGGAAAGGCTTTCAGTAGTAATTCAATTATTTGACAATGTCTCTATGTTATAGTTTCCCACAACTTCATATTATTTTTTTCTAGCTTTTGTGCCATTCTTAAGTGAGTAATTTGATATTTTTTAATAGGTCATCACATGTATTCAGGAGACTGCACAGGGGTGATTGTTGTTTGGGATACTTACGTGAAAGTTACTGATGTACAGCACTCAGTACGCCACTGGACTATAAATAAGGTACAAAATCTTGGGATTGAATGAAAGAAATTGAGGGAGAAATCAACCACATGACTTTAAGATAGGCTATAAAGCCAATTTGTTTTGTCCTTCATTTAAAAAAAATTAAGTTTTTCTCAGTCTAAAAAAATCAATTATCACTCATTAGCTCCTGATAAAGTTAATTATTGCTAATTGAGTACCCCATCTTTATGTCAGGTGATTGATAACAACTTAGTAAAGATTTTCATTTTGGCCATGCTGTACTCTCTACTTTTGAGTTTTGGGGGGTTTTTTGTGTGTTTTTGTTTTTTTTTCCCAATACCAGCAACAGGGCCTGGTACATTCTAGGTAATCACTTTCCTGCTAAGCTACAATCTCAGCTCATTTTAGTCCTTTGAGCTCCATTTTTCAGTATGGCATTAGCTGAATTTCATGATAAAACAGGCATATACTTTATTACTACCTAATAACAGCTAATTTTCTGTGATTTCTATTCCATTTTTGTTGTTGTTAGTGTTTTTTTGATCCAATAGTATCACTAGAAACAGCATGTTTTTTGTTTTGTCAGCAATGTTATATATGTTTGTCTTCAGAGTTACGTAATTATGAACGGGTTGTCATTTAATCACAGTAATTTATTTAGAATTTGTGATGATAGAAGTGAATGGAGTACATTCATTTTGGGGAAAGAATGTCTATAATCTTCTGTAATCAATTTCATTTTTTTAAGTTAAAATATAAAAGAATTAGAAAACTTGAATTTATATGTTATATAGGTAGTTTCTACTTGTTACATCTTTCTCATTTTTCTTAATAATTTTTGACAATAGATAGTATTTCTTTTGAAAAAGACCCTAAGAGAAAAAGAGTTTCTATGAACTTCAGTTAAATCAAGTTTGTTAGATCTGTGTAGGATACTTTGCCTTTAGTCAGTCCTGTCTGGTCCATCAGCTTAACAATAGACATCTTGAGATTCATCATACAGCCTAATGTTACTCACTTTCTAATTGAATACTTGATGTATTGCCTAAGCTACAGAGGTTTCAATTAGTTAAATCTAGAATGCAGGATTTACTCTTGTTTTTAAAGTTTTGTGTTTCTTTATCTTAATATAGTAACTAAGAGACAGCTTGGTCATTCTTTTAAACAGTCAAAAATAAAAAGTTTAGGAAATGACAAGCTTGGAACATTTCTTTAGTAGCAAATGCCATATAGCTACCTGGCGACTGCATTTTCATACTTTGCTATGTTCAGCTGGCAGTCTGGGGAGTGTGGAGAATCATTCACCTGTCCCCTAAAGGTGAAGTGACCATGTGCTAGTGTACAGACTCTTCTTAGCCAGTAATACACAGACTTCAGAATAAGGACTTTTTAGTGTGGACATGAATATGATAAAATGTTGGAGGAAATCACCAGATAACTGCAGATCTGCCATCGGCTTTCTCAGATTGGTACCTAACACTGATCTGCATTTTGTTTTTTGTTTTGCCCTTTTGCACCTCTTCTAGCTGCTCAAACCCCCTTCAGTGCTTTCTCATCTCAGATTTGTGATAGTGTAGCTCACTAAAATTCCTATCTATGGTGTCAGATTTCACTGTTTCCTCTAAGTTTTAAAAATAGTTGGTAAGGGGCTGGAGAGATGGCTCGTGGTTAAGAACACTGGTTGTTCATACAGAAGATCCGAGTTCGAATTCCAGCACCCACATGGCAGCTAACAACTGTCCTAACTCCAGTTCCTGGGGACCCAACAGTCTCTTCTGACCTCTGCGGACATTGAACGACACAGGTGCACTTACCTGTATGCAAGCAATACACACATACACATAAAATAAAAATAATAAATTTTTAAAAATTAAAAAACAAAGTTGGTAAGTCTTAGAGTCAGGCAGCAGTGACTGCTAATGAGGTTCAGTTGCTAATATTAGGGCAGTAGCACTATTCTAGCTCAACACTGCTGGGGTTAGTGTCCCTCTGGCAAGGAAACCCCCTTTGCAAAAGGTATCAGAAAATCAAGTGAAAAAAAGGCCAATTCAGAATTCTGCCTTCAAGTTAAGAGACTTTTCTTAGACTTTTTGGACTTAAGTGAAAATTATTTTGGAAGACACCATTGCTCAACACTATACCAACAACACTGACACCTAACTTTTTACATTCGTGTTTTTTCCCTCTCTCTTGGCAATCAAAAGAAAGACCTTTGGCAATTCTTATTTCTTTTAAAATTTATTATGTGCATTTAAGGTATGTAGCATGATTATGAGAACACAAACACACACACATATATTAGTATATGTGTAGTAAAACATGCAGTAAAGTTATTATATTTATTATTGTGGTGAAGTAAATTAATGCATCCATCATGCCCATAGCCCTTTGGGGTGTTTTGGTGACAAGAGAAGCTATGATCTGTGTATTTTGCATGAATCCCATATTCAGTACAATTTCGTTACCTATAGACTTCATGTTGCACACTAGGTGAGTTATTCATCCTACTACATCACGTCCTCTGACATAAAGCTTCCTGTTTCCTCCACTCTTCAGACATTGGTAATCTCTCTGTATATTTGAAGTTTTTTAATAGTCTACATATAAGTAAGACTGCAATATTTTTCCCTTGGATGGCATTGTCGAGGCTTATCTGCTATGTGGCAAATAAAAACATCTTCTTTTGCAGGACTGAATAATATTAGAGAAGAGAAGGGATGGGAGGCAAAGAGGGAGGAAGGGATGATGGATACATCTCCCTGATGAATAATGATGGTAAACATCTGTTCATATGTTTGTTGGCCATTTTTGTGTCTTTTCTGGAGACAATTAGTAAGTTCTTTGGCCCATTTTTTACCCAGGTTATTTATTTTCCTGGTATTGAGTAGTATGTGTTTTTTTATAAATTTTCAGGTTTTTTAAAAATAAATTTTAATCCCTTATCAGATAGATGATTAGCAAATAATTTTCTTAGTTTATACACTATAATTCATTTTGTTTTAGTGTACTTTGCTATGCAGGTGCTTTTTAATTTAATGTAATCCTGTTTGTATATTTATACTTTTGTGGCCTCAGTTTTTGGTATGATACCAAGAATCACTTCCACGGCCAGTATTCAGAGTTTTTCTCATGTGTTCTAGAAGTTTCATAGTTTCTGGTCTTACCCTTACTTACTTTATTTATCCATTGAGGGTTGATGTTAATGCATACTGTAGAGGTAGTTCTTGTTCAAGACTTGGACAGATCAATTCTCTTTCAGTGTTGAAATTTTACCCGACATCATAAGTTATGCATCTTCATTAGCTGCTACGAATAACCATAAGAAAGGAAGGAAGAGAGGGAGGAGGAGGAGTCAAACCCCTACTTAAAATGATTGCAGTCTAAATCATATGATGTCAAAATAACATGGCTATAATATACTTTTTTAATGACAAGCAGATTTATATGAGGAAATACAGACTAGACTAAACTTGCAAAATTAGTTTTGAATTTATAAAGCATTGAGACTGTCTTAAGTGATATTAAACAGAAAATGAAAACTTAGGAAACCTATGTAATTTGCTTTTTGTTTTGGATTGACTGCATTTTAAGAAAGTAAATAGCATATAAAATACATATTAATAAAATGCAGCACTATATAACCCCAGAATTCAATTAGTCATTTTTATTTTTAAACCTAAGCTGAAGTTGCCAGAAATCCTTTTGCTAGTAGCTTTAAAATCATATACTATAGTAGAGCTGAAATTTATGTTCATTTTGTATTTTATCTTATTGAGACAGCATCTCATGCTGTAGCCCAAAATAGCCTGAAACTCAATGTGTAGCCCAGGCTGGCCTCATTCATGGCAGTCTTCCTGCTTTAGTCTCCCAAGTGCTGATATAATAAGCATGAGGCACCATTCCCAGCTGAAAATGACATTTTAAAATTAATTTTATCCTCTATAAATGGGGTAGCATTGAATTTTTGATATCAATATTTTGACCCTTTTTTATCATTCTAGGAAATTAAAGAAACTGAATTCAAGGGCGTTCCAATAAGTTATTTGGAGGTTCATCCTAATGGAAAACGTCTGCTAATTCATACCAAAGACAGTACATTGAGAATCATGGATCTGCGAATGTAAGTGTATTTTAGTAACAGGATAAGTTTCAAATAAATTCCTTTATATCAATAAAATTTACCAGTATTTTTTTAGTAGGCAGTTTTGCCCACTGGGGACAGCATCTGAAAACATTTTTGTCATTCTTATATCTAATGGGTAAAGATCAGCAATCCAGCTAAGCATCATAGCTAAGACAGCCCTCACCACAAAGATTACCTAGCCCTATAGGAACAGCTCTGAGGCTGAAATGTAAATGACTTGATTTTTATTTTCACAAAGTAACAGCAGACACTTGTACCTTAAACAGTGAGGTCTCTTCTACCTCCATGATACTCATTTAGATTGTGATATTATATAACTGAATGGGAGAAATAATATATAATACTCATAAAGGTTTTGTAGAGGAGTAAACTAGTTGACATAGAGAGAGCGTGCAACATTAAAACATATAGCAAAGACTCCAGAAATGTTTGACCCAGTAACTCAGAGTCTAAAATTTAATCTGTTTTAAAAGTATAAATATATACACATACATATGCACACAAGATTGTTTATAGAAATCATGTTTATGGTAGGACAAAACTAGAGGTACGTTAAATCTTATTCAACAACAGAGAAGTTCATAAGATGCGTTTAGACAGTGACATCAGCCCACTGAAATAATTATGTGTACTCTGTGTTCCCTGACATGAGGAACACTGTTCATGCTTTTTTTGTTGTTCTGAAACAGAAAGCAGGTTACAGATTATTGTTATCTAAAGCCTGTATTATAGAAAACAATGCTAGCTGTTGGTTTAAGTGAACATTTTTTGAAAGGTCGTGCAGCATATATTAAGATGATTTATAATGTATTTAAATATTTCTTCAGGAATCAGGTAGTCACTGTGAGTTTAAGAAATTCATTATGTATTGGGGCTGGCGAGATGGCTCAGCGGTTAAGAGCACTGACTGCTCTTGCAGAGGATCAGGTTCAGTTCCCATCACCCACATGGTGGCTATGAACCGTCCTTAACTCCAGTTCCAGGGGAATCCGAAGCCCTTTCTGACCTCTATGGCATTGCATGACACAGGTGAACTCACATACATGCAGGCAATATACTCTTAACACATAAAATAAAAATAATATAAAAAAAAGAAATTCATTATGTACAATAAAATATATGAATATAGTCTATCTAGTTTTTAATAACCAACTTAAATGCTTCCATAAAAGAGTCTTCATAGCTAGAATCAATCTCTATTATCAAAATCTACAAAGCACTATTTATAGTCCTCTTTTTGTGATATTTTCTTCATCTACCTTGTAATCTGCACTGATCACATTTCTTCTGCCTACTAAATTCTAAGTTCCCTGTACACTGAAACAACTCTTATTTATTCTGTATTCATCAGACAATGTCTACCATATGATATAGTCTCAAAAATATTGTAATTAATGCAAATGAATATTTAAAAGGAAAATTTCTTTACTACCAGTCTTTTAAATGGTTTAGACACATTACATTTGTACATTTTTGTTTACAGACTAGCAGCCAGGAAATTTGTAGGTGCAGCAAATTATCGGGAGAAAATCCATAGTACTTTAACACCATGTGGGACATTTCTCTTTGCTGGAAGTGAGGATGGTATAGTATACGTTTGGAACCCAGAAACAGGTAAATATTTATTGATCTTTAAAAATATTTTGGGGGGCTGGAGAGATGGCTCAGCAGTTAAGAGCACTGGCTGCTCTTGCAGAGGACCCAGATACAGTTCCCAGCACCCACATGGTGGTTTAAAACCATCTATAACTCCAGTTCCAAGGGATCCAGTGCCCCCTTATGACCTCCGTGGACATTGCACAACACAGATGCACTTGCATACATTCAGGCAGTATACTCATACACATAAAATAAAAATAATAGATACATTTTTTTAATTTTGGGTAATGAGGATTGGAAGGTAAAAGAACGTGAAGACTATAATACTAAGAAAATTCTGATTTCATTATTTTAATTATGTATTTTAAGATTGGATAATGTATTGGTTATTTTTCTCATTGCTATGATAAAGTGCCTGACAAGAAGCAATTGAAGGAAGGAGGGAAGGAGAGAGGAAGGGAGGGAGAAAGGGAGAGGGAGAGTCTGTTTTGGCAGCTCCAGGATACATTCCCTTAGGTGAAGAAGGCATGGTGGTAGGAACTGGAGGCTGCTAGTCACATTGTAATCAGGAGGTAGAGAACAGGGACTGAGGAGACAGTTCAGTGGAAGAAGTGAATACTTGCAGTGCACATGTGAAGTCTGAGTTTGGATCCCCAGAAGCCATGTCCAGGCAGAAATGGTAATGCCCATCTGTATCTCAGCATTCTTCTAGCAAAATGGGAGGCAGAGGCAGGAGAATCCCTGAAGCTCATGGGCCAGTTAGCCTGGCCTTATGAAGTGGCAAACAAGAGACCCTACTTCAAACCAGGTAGAATGTCACAGATTTAAAAATAAAGCTAAACAAAAAGGCAGGGAAGCAGAACAGTGTACAGGAAATAGAGCTACTATAAAACCTCCAGGCCTGTTCTCAGTGGCCTACCTTCTTCACCTGCATTAACATTCTACATAGTAAAGATTTCACAACCTTTCCAAACAGTGCCACTAGCTGGGGACCAAATTTTCAAACACATGGGCTTCTGGGGGTACCTTTCACATTTAAACTACAACAGATAGCTTTTGATGGAATTCAACTACATTCTAAACTTACATAAAATTTGTTGTTTATTGTTTTACTGTCTTTGTGAATTTAGAATTTCACATTATAATTCAAGATTTATTCTTGGTCTTTGCATGTAAGATAGTACTGATGTTTGAGAAGTATTTTATGAACACTGTAATACAAAATACAAACACGGTAAACCAAACTATAACCAGATAGATATATGGTTAAATGTTTATGGTATGTTCTTATTAGTAACAACATTCCTGTGGAAGTTTTTGATGTCTGAAACTAAATTAGCAATTAATTGATGCTATTCTAATTTTCTGTCCTGTACCATGTTGTCAAGGTTTACTTGTTTCACTTATGCTTTTCAAGAGAAAAAGCTATAACTACATGAGCATTTTTAACAAGAAGTTGAATTTTAAGGATTCCTTTAGAAAGCAGTATTTTATTTCATCTGACTCCTTGTTCCTTTCTTTAGGAATTTTGACTAGTCAGCTCCTTAAGTGCTGTCTTATTTTGTTCTCCACTGAAGCATCAGTCAGGCTCCTCTTCAGCTTCAATAAATGAATCTAGAATCTACCTTTGGACTTAAGTTTGATTTTCCTAGACTTCACCAACTTCTGCTTTTGGCATCTTTTACCCATAAGTACAGTTATCTTTCAAGCAGATGGCACCTCAACAGCCTTTGGGAGAAAAAATAGAATAGAAAATCGATCCCTTCCCAATCCTCCCCTGACTGGAGAGTTTCTTCAACTTCAGGGTTTTGTAATCCCACTCTTAGTTTTACCGAATTCTTTATTAATTACAAATTGCTTGGCTGCCTCTGTCAAGTCTCAGTCATATACATTTCTCTCTTCTAAGTACTTTATGTGTGTTTTGTACTCTGAAACATTGAAGAAATTGGACTTAAAAGTAAAAAGAAGCCAGCAGAATGCAAAATAAAGATAATTGTTCATGACAGTGATACTCAAGACACTTAAAAGTAATTGAGGTTTTCATGTATAAGTAATGTGAACATCATCAATACTATAAATATTTTCAAATACAGTACAGGATAATCTTGTAATGAGAAATACCTGACATAATACAAGTTACTGAATTTCTTCTTTAATTTAGGAGAACAAGTGGCAATGTATTCTGACCTGCCATTCAAGTCACCCATTCGAGACATATCTTACCATCCCTTTGAAAACATGGTTGCATTTTGTGCCTTTGGGCAGAGTGAGCCAATTCTTCTTTATATTTATGATTTCCACGGTAAGTCCTCTGCTTAATAAGCACATTTAGAGTAATGTTTACATTTATAAAGGACCAGGAATCATGAGCTCTGTAAAAGCTATTCTTTCAGTTAATGGTCTCTCTTGACTGTGCTTTAGAGAAGAGTCAAAAAGATTAAATAGGTTTATTATTATGATGATATAACATTTTATTATTCTCTTTGCATGGTGATCATAGAATTTAAGTGTTGGCAAAAGAATGCATGATGGGGCTGAGGACATAGCTCAACTGATAAAGTGCTTAACTAGCGTGCATGAAGCCCTGGGTTTAATTTCCAGTACCCATAAACTGGATGGGATGGTACACACCTATAAACCCATTACTTAGTTATGCAGTGGAAGCAGAAGGATCAGAAGTTCAGGGTCATCTCTGCTACATAGTGAGTTTGAGGCCAGCCTTAGGCTACATAAGAAGTTGTCTTAAAAAACAGAAAAGAAACAAAAAGACAAAAACAAAATTCATAACGATTATGCTGTGTTGGAATCACAGAGCAGCCATTGCTTTCTTTGTAAATCAATTTAAATAAATGGAATTCACATAAAATTACTTAGGAATATCAACAAAATTTAAAGGGTAACAACATGAGAGATGAGAATTTTAAATATTTTTAGTTGAATATTGAGCTAGTTTTTATTGTAATTTTGGATATCTTGTTTGCATGGTCGTTGTTGTTGTTTTAGCCTAAGGTTCTTTTAGCTCAGGCTGCCTTTGAAGTCACTTTGTAAGCCCAGGCACTCTGTCTCCTCTAAGTTTTGGGATTACAAGTGTGAGACTGCACATTGGCTTGAGTTAATCTCTTATTTTATGTTTTTGTTTTAGTCAGTGTAGTTGAGAAATTCTTAATATAAAAAATGGACAAAATTTAAATGTCAGTGAAAACAAGAGCAGGAATTAGAAATCTAACATTGTTTCCAACAATAAAAATTACATTATCCTATCATTTTGAAAATAAGGAAGATAAAACTTTAGAACCACTTCTCAGGAATAGGGAGATATTTGAGAATTCTTGGATATATGATATTTTCAAGTATTTCTTTTCTATCCTGAAATTAGGATTTTGCTGTACTAATAACACAGACTTTCTCAAAATTACTATTTTATTTTCTTCATATATTCTTGTACATAAATGAAGGATCTTTGATTAGTCTCTTTGCTTTGGTTAGAGTATTGTTATCATCATTCAGTGTTTTTAATAAGCTAGAGTGATTCATACATGTATAGTTACATACATGTAAATAGATATAATATTAATATAAAACTATGGACAAAATAATGAAATATTTAAAGCTAAATTTATTAAGGCAATACATATTGAATTGGCTGATGCTATGATAAATGCTGTTATTAGACAATTGAGCTGTTACAAACCTGAAAGCTTTTGATCATAGTATGGATTATATTATACATTTCCAAATGAATTATCTTAGAAAATAATGCAGAAAATCAAGATTTATCTTAATCAGCTTTACAGAGAAGAAATGATTTCTGTAACACACACTCAAATTTATATTGTTGCTAATGAGAGAATTGTTAAGTAATATAATGCTATTTGCATGCACTAGCAAATGTTAGCAAAAATAGTGCTACCTTTTTAGAGGAAAAGATAAATGAATTTCTCAAGTCATCCAGTATCCAAATCTGTTGTCTCATTCTAACATGTGTCCTCAAATAGTTCTTTGTCCCTTTCTAATTTTTCCTATAAACAAAGCGAATTATACCCAATTACTTTATATTTGGTACTGTTGTACAGGAAGTAGCACAGTTATTTCTTCAGTCTCTTAAGAGGTTTCATAACAGTCTTCATTCAATTTCTAATTTACTTTTTAGACTTCTGAAATTTTTACTGTAAATACTAGTTTAAGTTCTGTTCTTTTTTCTTCAGATAGTTTCTAATTTGTCATTAATAGAAGGGTTTCTTAGCTCAGAAAGAGCAAGGTGTTTGAACTGTACTGTAACATGGGGGCTTAGGCTTCTGTTGTAACCTCAACTAAGCTAGCCTTCTTGATCCTCCACTTCCTTATTTTTTAAAAGATGCTGTTAGTACTACAGCCTGCCCTACCAAAGAACTGTGAGGACACTGAGTGTGACAAGATAAAGCTCTATATTAAAATAAAATTAATTTAATTTTATGAAAATAAAATAAGTTTTCATGCACATCTACCAGTAGACAACTAATTTTATAGAGATTCATGTTTTAACATGTCAATAAGCATCCCTGTATGGAAAACAAGTAAAAAAGATATTCCTCCTCCCTTTTACTCTGCTGCTCTGCCCTTTCTTTTTTCTATTAGCCTGCATGTCATACCAGTTCAGTTGTATTGCAGAAGAAATATGTTGTCTCAAAATACAGGAGGAAGGATTTTGGTGAACATCGCAGAAATGATGATGTTCAAATAATAACACATAAAATTAGTTATTTTGTACAATGTAGTTAAACAGTTTTTTATATACTGCTACATATTTACAAAAAGTTTAAAACTCAAAATGTTTCCACACATTTTCCAAACTCTTTGTTGCCTGTTTTTAAAAAGAAGAAGCTAAGGAAGAAGTTAAGTAACCTCAAGCCACCCAAGATTTGGCACAGTTCTTTTGAGTGGTATAGATCTGTGAGAAATGAAAAGCTATTTCAGGCTTTGAAATATTTTGGTCATTGAATGCAGACCAGAATCATCAGTTTAAATAATTTTAAATTTTTCTTTTAAGATTATAATTTTAATTGATCCTAATAGTTTTGCCTTGTATTTTAACACATGGATATTTTCTTCAAAGTATGTCTCTTAAAGTTTACATGTGATTTTACATAAATTTTAATGTTATAAAGTTGAAAATAAATACTTTTTGAATTATTTTTCAAATTAGCCTGCATGCCATACAGGTTAGTTGTATTTTTTTTTCAAATAGTTTCTGAAATTTTCAAGGAAAAAGAAGCAAGTTCATTTTTTTGTAAGCTAAATAAGCTACGAATGAGACCACAATGGTAGCTAAATGTATCATCCACCTTTCAGTTCTGGCAAAATCTGTGAAGAGTCAGCAAGCATCTTTCCCTGTTAAGTACATGTTCAGGTTGTGGTCTTTTGAGTCTTTCATTCTACTGACTTTTTGCTTTTTTTGGTAAGAACTATGATTTTTACTTTCAGAAGGTAGTTTTATTTGCCTGATGTTGAAAGGGTTAATCATCTAGTAATACAAAGTTTAGTCACAAGAGTACCACAAATAATGTACATTGAGGATTCCCATAACAAAGTACTAGTCAGAGAAACGGTTTCTACTGAATTAATTTTATGAAGCCAGACTTCAACAGTTAATGTTTAGCAATTAATCAATATTTGTCTACTTAGGTCTCTAGGATGTTGTTGTTTAAGGATAATTATAACATCCACATAGCACTTTATGGTACTGTTTTAAACAGTTTACATATATCTATCTAAGATTTTCAAAATAATTTTCTGACATAGATGCTGCTATTATCCTTACTTTACAGGAGCCAGGAGTTAAATCAATATAGCCTGATCTTGAACTCAGTGCTCTTATTTGATACACTAAATTGGCAAATGTTCTGCTAGATTAGCTTTTAAAAAATAAAAACTTTTTTTCTATATAGTACCAGTTTCTCTGTGGAATATGTACTTTCTATGTATTTTATACTTTATAGGAAGCCAAGATGGAGACTTGTTCATTTGCTTCACAGTTTCTAGCTCGAACACTGACATAATGAATATGCATGTAGCGTTTGAGGTGGAGTCTCAGTTTAAGTTCTTTATTTGATAATTCCAGGTAATGAATCTTGTTATTCACTAGGTGGCAGTATCTCCCCTGAAGGCATATTAATGCCGGTGCTTTTCAGTCAGTATCTCAGGCTTTTAGAGATCTTTTGAGCCACTATTATGTGCCAGGTTGAGCTGGACTATGGCTTGACGAATCAGACTCAGATGACCTTGTTCTCTTCTAGTCCTTCATGCTTTCCACATAATCTGTTACACTCCTGAAAGAACTTTAATCAAAATAAAAGACTATTTCTCTCATTGTTACGATTTAGAAATAAATAGACTTTATACTGTTTGGTGACCACCTGCATTGTCACTATAGCACCTTTATTTTTGATGTGGCGTGCTCTACCATAGTTCAGGAAAGCATATACTTTTAATTTCATATGAAATTTTGTTACAGCTGGGCATGGGACACATGCTGTAATTCTCGTACTTAGGAAATAGAGACAGGAGGATTATGAGTTCAGGTTCATCCTTGGCTGTGTACATAGAGCATTCAAGGCCAACCTGTACTAGAAGGAAAGCCTCTCTCTCAAAAAAAGAAAAAAACAGAAAATTGGTTTTATAACCTGACCATTGTCTATCATATTTATAATATTTTGTGTTTAGCATAGTACCTGTATAGTACTATTTGCATTAAGAATTAAAAATCCTATATAATAGAATTTTCTTAAATTGTAGAAAAAGGTGGGAAGGCATCAAAAGTTAGTACATTTGAGGAGAATGAGAACAGTGGTAGCTAGCAGAAAACACTTTCTCATAGACAGCTGTTAATATACTGCAGCTCTGCTGCTCATTATTATCATTTTACAGATAACGAAACCGTGCCACCAGGAAAATGAAGTAATTTGCATAGCATCACACAGTTGTTGGTAAAGCTGCCATTTGATTCCAAGCTGTCTGACTAATGTTTTCACAATAAGATAATGTCTACTTGGTAGAAATTTAGTATCTATGGCTTTATATAACATGTAATGTTTTACATGTGATACTAATGAGAATTACTCAAAAGCAAACAGAGATAGTACAATCATCATGCTTTCATGAGATTATGCCATAACAGATATAACTGATTGTGGGACTGGGTTTTAATACTGATTTTTAGTCTAGTAGGAGAAATTAAGAATTAAAGCTACCACATTTTAAGCTGATGAAACAGCATTTTACTTGTATTCTAAAGTATTTAAAATTCTTTACATAATGGATTCTCAG